TATATAACATTTGCATATTAGAAGTTGTATGGTACGATTATACACTACTAGAAAACAACCTAATTACGACGGAAAAAATCTGTCGGAAAAATCTTGTTTTCTGTCGGAAAAACCGTTTCCGACGAAAATTTCGTCGGAACCGATTGTCGCAATACAATTTATAGGAAAATCAAACTTTTCCGACGGAAGAACCACTTTTCCGACGGAATTTCCGACGGTAATCGATCCGTCAGAAGAGGTTTTCCGGTATGACAAAGTCCGTCGGAAATTTTCGACGAACTGTAATCCGTCGAAAATTCCCGACGGGAATTCCGTCGGAAACACCAAGGAAAAAAGTAGAAAAAAAAAAAACACCACACCACCGCTTCCAACCACCACCGCCACTACGTTTAACCTATTCACTCGCCTTGACCCCACCTGTCACACCTCCTCATACCACCTTAAAGGCTTAAACTGAACCCACCCACCACCTAAACCCTCCAATCGCACCACCTTAACTCGAACCCACCCACCATTTTAACCCACCAGCCGCACCCACCCACCACCTTAACCCACCAGTTGCACCCACCCACCACCTTAGCCCACCAGTCGCACCCACCCACAACCTAAACCCACCAGTCGCACCCACCCCCCAGCGCACCCACCTAACCCTAAGGTCCCTAACCCACCCAACTACCTCAGATCTACCATCTAAACCCACCTAATCCGAACCCACCCACCTTAAACCACCCAACTACCCAGATCTATCACCTAAACCCACCCAAATAAAATAAAGAACTACCACCATAATGCTACATATTCCGACCAACTACCTACAAAGAACTACCGCCCAAAACCACAACCAAACCCAAAATTCGAATTAAAAAAAAAAAAAGAAAACATACCTTTAAAATCGAATTTTGCTTTAAATGTCATCTCGAATTTGGTTTAATATGGCCAAATTCGACTATAAAACTCTAGATCTAGAGTTTTTATGGTTGAATTTGACCCTAACCATTAATTGTTTTAGAACACCACACCTCCACCGTTAATTTATTTGTAAAGACGTCGGATCATAATTCGTGACCCAAACTCTTGCCGCCGACAAAGAAAAGAAAGAAAGGAAAGGGGAAAAGGAAATAGAAGATAGAGAAATGAGGAGAAGAAAGGAGGAGCAAGAACGAGAAAAGAAAAGGAGGAGAGGAGAGGAGAGAGAAAGAGAAAGAGAAGAATAAGAGGAGATAAGTAAGGGAGGCGGAAATAAGATGGAGTAGGGTTTGGTGAAAAGGGTTTTAATTTTTTTTTTAAATTAAAACCCGACGGAAACTTCCGTCGAAATTTCCCAACGAACTATAAATCCGTCGGAAATTGAAAATTCCGACGGGAAATTCCGTCGGAAAGCACATATATTCCGACGGAATTTATTTCCGTCGGAAATTTTCAACGGATTTGTCAAATTCGTCGGAAATATCCGACAGAATATAAATCCGTCGGAAATTTCACTTTTTTCGACGGAATTTCATGTCCGTCGGAACCAGTCCGTCGTAATTTGCCTGTTTTCTAGTGGTGAAATTTAATTTTTTATGTTAATATTTGACATATCACAATTATTTTACAATAATTATTTTAATATTAAAGGGTCAAAATAGTTTTCTCAAGTTTTCTTTATCTAAAATTAATTTTTATTCACCCACCCGTTTACCAACCGGCCCACCCGTTTCACCCGCGGATGGTGGATGCATGGATATCGGGTGATGTATTATGTAGGTGACGAATGGATCGGGTGAAACGGATGGATGCGGGTGACGGATGCGGGTGGAGCTCCACCCGATCCATTTCCATACCTAGTTAGAGAGCTAACTAGCTTACCAGACAGTTAGGGTGTCTGTCCACCCCCTATATAAAGAGCAATGAGACGATGTCGCACCCATGTACTCATCTTGTGGACAAAACTGCTGAGAGAGTTGCTGACTTTCTTCTCTCTCACTGGATTTGGATATGTGCCTCTAGTCCTAAGACATGTATTTTTATCTTGTGGACATCCAGTTCGAATACCGATGAGGCTCGAATGCCAAAACATCGAGGCTTGAATGCGGAAACATTTAGGCTCGAATGCCAAAACATTTAAGCTCGAATGCCGAAACATTTAGGCTCGAATGCCGAAAATGTGGAGGCTTGAATGCTAAATACCCCTTTTTCATCTTTTTAATTTGTTAAAGTCAGGCTAAAGTTTCAATGACATATCGAGGGACTTTAGACCAACGATGACATGATTGAGAGGAAATCACCCCCCTTTTACTCTTTTTAAATCGATCTCTTCTCATGATTTGACATGCGTTCTACAAAAGCAAAGGATCAATCCAGATTCTTTAGCTATAGAAATAGCTTTTTCTGGCCTTAATAGCTACTTGTTTCATACACTTAGCGAATCAAGGATCGTTTCTATATCCTTAGCATTTCTGAAAGATTCTCTACTCTTTGAGAACTTTGCAGAATGAGTCTCGGATTTATTTCCTTTACTACTTTGATCATCGTCTATTTTAGACTCGATCAAAGCGGGGGCTAACTGTAGACACCTAATTTTGGCCTCCTGTCCCGACAGGAAATGCAATGGCCATTAATTTAACCATCTTTGTGTTGGATTGAAGTGAAGAATGCTTATAGATAATTGGTTAAACCAAAAAACACAAAAGACTAGCCCAAACCAAGAACAAAGCCAAATAGAGTCCAATTAATTAAATCTGATCATAACTAGGCTTAAGCCCGTACTTAAAACCCAATAATGACGGATTTTGGAGCACCTAGGTTAAAATAAGCGCTACCGTAGAAAATAATGCGCGCATCTCAAAGAGTCGCGCTCGTAAGGTGCACGCAACCAAATCAGTTGCGCGTGACACTGAGCGCAACTTCGGGCTCACACGCGTCAACTATGTCGCGTGGCCTGAGCTTGTTTCCGCTCTTATCCGGAAACAAGGTACACCCGAGAAGAAGAAAAACATATGCAGCCAGCTGTGTGTCCTGCGTCCTACGTGAAGTGGGGTGCAAACATCGCTGCAAAACTGCTGCGATCTTAACACCGCCGTGATCCCACACACCAAGTGCCGCTGTGTACAGCGCAGCCCTATCCACCGCCAACAGCTCCGCCAATAAATCTGCCTGATCCGCATCTGTGACAACAGATGCTCGGTTTCCCTCTACGGGAATCCCAAGGATGGCCTCGACGTCATGCAACATGATCGTCATCTCACCGAACGGAAGGTGGAAAGAGTTCGTGTCCGGCTGCCATCGCTCAACGAAAGCCGTGATCAGCGTCGAGTCAATCCTCTCATGCATGGTGGCAGGAAGGTGGCTCACTCTAGTGGCCCTCAATCGGCCGACCATCTCGCTCTCCTCCGGCCAAGCCTCAGCCCAACTACACAAGAAGTTACAAGTCCTCTCCCGGGTTTGGCATTTCAAAATGCCGCTATCCAAAGCCCGCTCTTGGTCCTCCCAAATACGGGTAGCGATGTGTCCTAGAAAGCTAGGAATCACACTCCCGTCTATAGGTCCCCCAGCCACCTCGCCCCTCACCACCCAAGAATCATTAACGGCCCTCGACCGTTTTCTGCTAACCGCAGACACAGTGGACGCAGATGATGTGCCAGATCTACTAACAAATCTACCATCTCTACCCTTACGCACGTCTACCCTACGCGTCTCATACAAATCATCAAGCCTCTGACTGAATGGACCGTAATCATCATATGGTCCACTCTGATCGTCCACATCCTCATCTGCATCCTCCTCCTCCTCCTCCTCATCACCATCATCATCTTCATCATCCTCAGAATAGTGCACCCGTTCTCTACGAGCCGAGGCCGAAATACGATGTCCATACTCTTCCCAGCCCCAGAACGAAAATACGATGCCTAACACAAAATAACAAAACATGTAATATGCAATATAAACATGTAATATAAACATAAAAAAAGTAATTAAAATAAATAAATAAAACAATATACATATGATGGAAAATAAATTAAAAACATTACAAAATATTAACAACCTAAAAATAAAAAAATTAATAACCTAATAAATAAATAAATAAAAAATTGGAAAAAACAAAGCAAAAAAAAAAAATTACCCAAAAAAAACAAATTGGAAAAAACAAAGTGAAAAATATAAAATTATAAAAACTTAAAAAAAGAAGAACATCAAAATTTTAAAAAAAATTTATAACAAAAAAAAGGGAACATAAAATTTTTTTTAAGTAAAAAAACTAATTCAAAAAAAAAAAAAACAAGAACAATAAACAAGAACATAAAATTAAAAATTAAAAAAAAAAAAGAGGAACATAAAATTTTTTTAAAAAAAACCAACAAAATTTAAAACAAAATAAAAAAAAAATCAGAAACATAAAATTTAAAATTAAAAAAAAGAAAAACAAATTTAAAAAAAAATCAAAAAAAAAATAATTATTTTCGAAAATTAAATTTCAAATTTAAAACCAAAAAAAAATTAAAAAAAAAAATAAAAAGGCGGCGGCGCCTAGGCCAGACGCCGTGACGGTGGCGGCGGCGTCTAGCCCAGACGCCACTACCACGGCGGCGGCGCCTAGGCCAGACGCCGGTGCCGTGGTTCTGGCGCCTGGGCCAGACGCCACCGCCACCGTCACGGCGTCTGGCCTAGGCGCCGCCGCCGTGGTAGTGGCGTCTGGGCTAGACGCCGCCGCCGTGGTGGTGGCGTCTGGCCTAGGCGCCGCCACCGCCTCCGACCTTTTTTTTTTAATTTTTAAACACAAAATTAATAAAAAATACCTTCTCGCCGGAAAACCGCTGTCCACCCGCCGCCTGTGCCGCCACTTCCTTGCCGGGCCGCCTCGACATCGCTCGGAAAGTTTTTTAGAGAGAGAAAGTGGAAGTAGAGAATTGAGAGAAGAAATTGTGTTTTTTACTTTGAGGGCAAAAGTGACAATTCACTCTAATTTTGTGGGCTTTATGTGGAGATTCGCGGGCGATGTTTAGCAATTGAGCATCTTTAATGGCGCCATTTAAAGCATTGACTCTCCCAAAAAAAAAAAGCAAGTACAGTTCGAAAAACTTGACCCTTGGCTTCATCTTCTCCATACCGCACTCTCTGTCCTTCAGCACACTTCAAACCTTAAAATTGATCAAAAAGCTTCAATCTTTTGAAGATTTTAGGCATAGTTGGTGAAGAATTTTACTTTGGCGCTTCAGATTGAACCAGAATCGCAAGGTCGCGTCGGTGGCTGGAAGTATTTGTTGATTGTGACTAAAATTCCAACCAACTCAGGAAGCGGGGTAAACGGAGCTTTTACAAGGTGAAATGCTGTTAATCGATCTTCATTTCGAGTTGTGATTATGTGGTTTTTTTTTTTTTTTTTTGCGAAATTGAGTTAGGGTTAGGGTTTTTTCAGAAAGTGTGTATTTGCATGTGATGGTGGGTATATTTCGCGAAATTGCTATAGTGTTAGTTTTGCTTTGCTGTGATTTAATGCGAATTGTTGTATGTGTTGATCTTGTTTCGTAGGATGAGTAAAGATTGTCCATTGATGCGGCTTCTCCCCTCCATTGTTGCGGCATTTGAGGTAATAATTTTTCTTTCCTTAATTATTGAATATTAATTTCACATTCTAGTGTTAATCGTTGATTTGATTGTCAGTGTAGTCAATTTAGGGTTCATTTTTGGTGGATTATTGATTAATAATTACTCGAAGAATTTAATGAGATTATTTGAGCCTTGTTTGATGATTGATCCAAATTTCGTTGCTAAAGTGTTGTTGTAGGGTTTGGTTAAGGTATAGCCCTTTTATGTTAGGATAAAACCATAAAAATAGCCCTGGTGAAGAAACCCATTTCCCCGAGACCCCAAACACTCTTGTTTCCTTTGTTGAGTTTGAGGAGGACGAGTTTAATTGGCATTGGTACTTAGATTAAGTATATATTTCTGCACATGCTGAGTTCCAAGAGTTGTGTTGATTCAAGGTGAAGGTGTTTTGATTTTCGTAATTTGTGTTGGTATGGCACATCCTAAAAGTGATTTAATTGAAGCTAAATAGATGTATTGCAAAACAAAAGTATATCGTTTATTTAAGTCACCTGCGCTATTCATATTTGATTGCTGTAATGTCCATCCTCTCTTTAGTACAATTGCCACTAAAGTTATTGTATTCGTCTTAACCTTTAGAACAAAATTGTATTATTGTCTTTCAATATTCCAAATTTTTTATACTAGATATGAAATTGATCTATTATAATTAGGTGAAGGTTCTTTGACTCTGAACAGATGCTATTGAAAGCTTGATGTCCTGATTCAAACAGCTGAAATGAATATGCCTGGGAAGTCAAGGGACTTGTGTTGAACTTGAAATATTCTACAGCGTCATAGTTGAGATAGAATGTTTTTTGGGGGTGGAAATAGGAGGTCTTGTGTAATTTTGTGGTTGAGAACTAGAATAAGTATAAAAAGAGAGGGCTATTGACTATTGTTAGGGATGAGATTGTAATTGAACGTAGGAAATAATGTAGCTTGAGGTGCTTGTTAGTTGTTATGCAAATCTATTTTCTCTTATGAATAAAACAAACAAATGATAACTGGAAGGTTGGATGGAGAAAAGAGGTGACGACCCACTAGGACTAATCTATCCACAATCACATTCCAAGTGGCAATCAAACGAGGGTGTGAATGTGAGATGCCAGAGAAATGATATGCCGGACTAAGGCTACGGCTGATATCATTTCCTCTTGGTTTAGTTCCATTAGTCACAGAATGGATAGATAAGCAAATCACTAGCATCCATAACATTTTAGATGATTGTAAGGAGGCTTTTGCTAAAAGAACATCTTTGTGTAGTATTTCCTTTTCAATTTAATTGGAAACCTATTGATATGATAAGCTGACGTTAAGAGACAATTCCCTAAAAATTAAACAACATGAAACTGAAAAGGAAGGGCTCTACAACTCTTCATGTTTTTCCTAGCCTTTTAGGAGATTGTTTATGCTTTTCGTGTAACTACTCCATTCTGTAGGCTTCATCTCATGTACAGTCCTCTTTTGAGCAAAAATTTTGCACCTTCTCACGCGATTCTAGGGGGTGTTATAACTCTAGCCAAAAATCAATCCTCAACTTTTTGCAGAAAGCATTTTCTATAAGATTACACAAATGATTACTTTAGGCTTTATCTCATGTACAGTCCTCTTTTGAGCTAAAATTTTGCACCTTCGTCACGCGATTCTAGGGGGTTGTCTAACTCTAGCCAAAAACCAATTCTCAACTTTTTGCAGAAAGCATTTTCTATAAGATTACACAAATGATTACATTAGGCTTTATCTCATGTACAGTCCTCTTTTGAGCTAAAATTTTGCACCTTCATCAAGCGATTCTAGGGGGTTGTCTAACTCTAGCCAAAAACCAATTCTCAACTTTTTGAATAAAACCTTTTGCAGAAAGCATTTTGTATAATACACAAATGATTACATGTTAACCTTACTAAATCTGTGATTGGGAGGAATCTGTTAGAATCTATAATATAATTTAGCATGATTTGATTTTCAAACAAACAATTGAACGATCTCGATGCATGTGTGTAATGTATTACTCCTTTATGGAAAAGGTAATTTGTATTTTTTAGCTTTTGGTTTAACTTACCAAGAAAAATTTAAGGGGAAACCTGTAGTCCTCGTCAATAATCTCTTCTTTTATTCACAGATCACTATGAGAAATTCAGAGTTGCATGTTACTTGTAGAGTAGCTGTTAGGCTAGTCACACAACATTCAAGCTACCAACCTCTGTTTATATGTATATTTTTAAGTGTTACACTTGCCTTAGTCTGCTAATTTTTTTTTAAAAGTGTTACACTTCCAATTTTGATACACTAATACTTCCTCCGTTTCATAATGTTAGTCCAATTTAGAATCTTTTGACTATTAAAAATTAGAGGGAATCTTCTAAATTTTTCTTTATTATAAGAAAAACATAGTCATACGCAATCTAGTTTTATAATTTTTGCTAGTGTGAGCAGGGTTTGAAAACGCCTATGAGGCGCAAGGCAATCAGGGAGGTGCACTTCAATCAAAAGTTTTAAATGCCCATATAGTGCGCCTATTCCCTCTCTCTCTAGTGCGCCTTGAGCTTTTTTATACATTGAGTGTGAGATTAAAGATATTTGCAGTTAAAGATTTGCATCGATAATGGGACTAACATTAAGAAGCGGAGAGAGTACCATTTAATATTTTATCTCTCTCAGTACATGGTCCCCACTTTTTTTAATTTAATTTATTCTCTCCTTTCACATCCATACTTTACATTTTCTTATACCTCAAGGAACCCCACTCTTATTACTTGTCACAAAAAATTCCATTAAACCTTAGGTGAAGCATGCAAGATGTCCCAACCTAAGGTGTACTTGATGTTTCCTTCATCTTACCCAATTTTTTTAGGAACTTTTAAATAAAGCAGGGAGTAATAGCTTTTATTTCACTAATATTTACATAATTTTGCTTAAATCATCACTCTTAACATTGTGTACATTGTACTTCAGGGGCTAAAGAGTTTGAAGCCTATCCTGAAACTTCTGTATTATTTGATATGTTCATCTTCAAGTTATGAAGTTTGTCAAGACACTTGTAACAACAGTGCTGCTGAAAATGGTCTCAATCTCAAACCTGAAGATGTGATTACTCTCTCCAGTATCTTGTTTAAAGAACTTCATAAAAGGCTACTATCTAGCTCAGATTATGCATCCATGGATCAAGATGTTGGATTGGATGTAACGAAGTGTAATGGGAATGATTCAAGGGAAGAATTGCTTTTGCTTCTAAGATGCTGTGTTCTCTTGGTGAGGTTGCATCCATATGATCAAATGCTTACAGAGCAATTTAAGGCTGCTGTTGCTTTACTGCACAGATTGTCTGATCAAGGGATATTGACTGCAAAAACAAGAGGATCTATCGGGTTTAGTAAACTGAATACTTCTCAGAGTGCTTATGGTAACTGCACAAAATCTTACTCTCCTGATCTCAAATCCAAATCATCTAATTTGTACATGCGTTTTTTACTACAAATGTTGGAGGTAAATATACAAAACTCTATGATATTCACAAAGCTGTATGAATTGCTAGCTAAGAAGTGGGTTTGTGAAATATGAGTATTTATAATTGATGTTGATTTAGGTGTTTAAGATAGCCAATACTTTTTGATTTTCAATATCTTGTGTTGTCATTCATCGCTTGCAATTTCAGGTTGTCTAAAATACAGAGTACTTTCTTTTGATAAAAGTTTATTTGCTGCTCTTACCACCATTAATAATCCTTCTAGTTATCACTCCTTACTCTTCTTTCTATCTGTCATGTTCATTACTTTTATGCATATTGGTGGATTTCATTAATATTAGTTTAAATTGCACTGATAATGTAAATTAACAATATATATTGTATGGATAGTATACTATAAAGTGGCAATTAATATTGCATTGGTGGTTTTTGAATACAAATTGAAAAATTAGACTAAAATGCCTTACAAAATATTACAAAAGAGATTGATTAGAAGGGACAATTTCTCGGGCAGGAATTTGAAAAAGCTTTTTTATTTTTTATTTTTTTTATTTTTGTAAATACTATGGTCTGTAGACTGTCCTTGTTTGCTGAATTTATTAGATTGCAATTTATGGCTTTTGACATCATAAATTCTACCAATGAGGCTTTCTCTACGAGTCCTAAGCCTTTATAAAGGAAGAGGGTTGCCGTAGGCTTTTGTCAGCCAGCCTAAAAGTCTTCATCAAATCTCATGATCATGAACCTTAAATAGGGGTTGAGAGCACCTTAGCATATTTGAGTTGATTTGACAAATTTGAAGTGCTTGATAAGGTGCATTGTACTAACTCAGTCTTCTGATTTTTAAACAGTTAATCATACCATAATTGTATTATCATAAGAACAATCTTCGTGTTATTCCTTATTTAGTTCCAACTTGGAGAACTTTGCCTTTCTGTAAAAAAATTAAATCATGCTTAACATTATGTTTCCATTCCTAAATTTCAAGCTGTCAACCCATACATTCTATTACTATGAAGTATGAATGAATCTGGATATTCCAGATTTTTTGTACAACAATCTATTTTCTGGTTTATGTGCATGCTTATGTTTTATGGAATAATATAAGTGTTCATCTAATTTCATGCACTTTATTTATCATGTAACATTGCTGGTTGGCCCAAGTTATTCTGTCAGAAACTATAATTTATATAATATGTATGCCCTTCCAGTTTAAGTATACCTCATCATCAACTTGTTGTCCTTGATACTGCCACCCACTTCCCTATCTTACGGTAATGGGTGTTTGCAGCTTCACAGAATCTAAGATGGAGTTCTCTTTTCAGGTTTATTTGGATGAGATTTTTGCAGACAGACCATTCCGAGAGTGTATTGCAATCTCAGACTCTATATCTTCCACCTGCCAAAATTTGGCTGTGTGGTCTTCTACAAATATTGAGAGTGTTCTTGAAATTAGTGCTGCTCATTTTCTTTTGTCATTTTCTGTAGAAGACGTCCTTCAAACTTTTATTGAAAGTCTAATTTGGACAGAAAAACCTTCTCTTTTTTCTCCTGAAGTGAGCTTGGCTGTGGCATCCTCATTAATTAATCACCCTGTCATGATGTCTGCTCCATTACCTCTCCTTTCACATCTAATATCTTTAGTGTCCGAAGTTATTGGCATATGGGTCAGTCCAGAGAAGGTGGTGCCCGAGTTTAGATGTGTGAATATATATCTATCTACGTTTAATGATTCAGTCAATTTGTACTGTGAACACATGTCTAAGTTGATGACTGGAATTAGCCCAGGGAGGATCGTCCAACGACATTTTGAGTCTCATTTCCACTCAGTGATCTATGATAAAATTAACTTCATGCTCGTTGATTTGGATAATGCATGGAGAGAGCGAAGCACCATGATGTTTAACATGACAATATCTAGCGTGGCAATTGATGCTATATCTTACATAGAGACAAATATCTATATTGTTGATAAAACTTACAGAGATAATTTGCTCTCCTTTCTTTGCTCATTGATAGCAAGACTTATTTCAGTTGAAGTCAATGAAGTTTTATTGCAAAAGTTCAAGGAAATGGCTATGCAAGATTTTTGCCTGCTTGCTTCAATATTAAAATTGATGAGTTGCTCTTTGTTGCAAGCTACTCACTGCTGTAATGAGAATTTGAGTTGTTTAATATCATTATTAAAGAGAAAAGATGTAATTCCATGTCACAGCTCTCAAGCTGATCTGATGAGTTCCTTTGCACAGTACAATCTCCATTTACCAGTTCGAGTACAACAGTTCATAATTAATGCTTTGAAACCATATGTATCAGAAGACGAAGAATATGAGTTGTTTATGCATTTTTCTAGCCTTTTATCATTAAGCATAGTGAGTGGATTGCACATATTGGTGTGTGGATGCTTATTTTTTATGCTGGTTCTCCTGAATGCTTTAGCTCTGAGATCATCATCAATTAAATCAGGAACAGAGTCACCTGCATGTGTGTTTTCACAGACCACTGTCATTAGCCCTGTTGAAATTACTCCTAAAACTGGTTTTTCTGATATATCTCGAAAGGTAAATGCATGTTGTTTCTATTAATTGTATTGCTAATATGTGTTTGTATGTATTTTGATCTCCTGAATAATGACAGCTTTGTGTACCACAGAAATCCAGCCTCAGAGTTGCATCAAACTTTCGAAGAGAAAGACGGAAATTGTACAGGTATATGATCTATAACTTTGTGCCTATTTGAAAAGCTAAACATTTCACTGTTCTGTAATACTTGTGTATAATTTTCCGTAATGATTATGGTTTTACCTTTTGGCTATGAACTAGTTCTTTGCCTGAGCGATGCTCGGATATTCACAGGAAGAAAAAATTATATTTATTTATTATTATAAGTTTGTATTTGTTTATAGATTGTGTATATTTTTAATATTTTATTTATTTAAATTTGTTGTTATTGCTCTATTATTTAGGATATATATATATATATATTTGAAATAAGGTTGTATATTTTTTTTTCATCAATTATCTTTTTATTTTCTAAGGAAAATAATAAAATAAAAAAAAAGTTTTTGGCGGGAATTTTTTTAATATAAACGTGACACGTGTAATTCTAGAATATTCCTGGTGATTACTTTAGTATATAGTATTGATGTTTGATGAGTTTTTTTGTTTTAAATCATATTTGTTCATAAACCTAATTTAGTCGGCAAAAGCCTATATTAACTAAAGTAGTCAGGTCCAGGAATCTCTATTGGGGTGACATTATTGATATAGGGATTAGGGAGTATGTGGGGAAATTTTTTTCATAATCACAAAGTTGTCAACTCCATGGACCATGGATGTCTTTTAACCATAAAATTAAAAGGCTATATGCCTATATGACCTTGAAAGGCGTTCTCTGCTTGCACCCTCCTTAAGCTAGATATATAACAGTTTCGGTTGTTTCTCTGTAATTAATCCCTTACACCACTCAATGGTAAAATGATCTCTACAATTAGCAGTTCTGAGCTCAAAGACCAAGTTGCAAACCTTAGCTCAATGTTTGGTGACTTGTCTTTGAATTAGATACTTAAAAGCTTGTGCAAAATAATGTTTTTCTTTCTTACGCTGCTTTCATAAGATTAGAAAGATTATCGTATTCCTTCTACCCTCTTCTTCCTTGCTTGCTTTAGAGTTAGAGGGATGTTGATATTTTCTGCATTTCTGTTGTGATTACTATCACCTGTAAATCAAGAAGCAAGTGTAAAATACAGAAGTAAAAGCAATAGATAGGATTGGCTATGTCCAAAGCCACAATTGTAAGTTTATACACCATTTTCTAATAATGGGAGGAGAAGTGAACATGTAGATGGTACATAGGATTTTAAAAGAGCACATCAATGTCTTGTATCTTTGCTCTCTTTTTTATCCCGTTATTTGTAATTTAGTAATTCATTTCACACTGTTAATATTGATTTAATACCTTCTCAGATTTGTTATTTATCTTTCTCTTGTCAGGGACTATAGAGCATCTGAATTTTCAGGCTTGTCAGATGAAGAAACTTGCAATGGGGAAAATTTCCTTAAGTGTTTGACAAAGAATCGTAAAGATATTGCTGATTTATCTGATTTTATCGAGTGCAAGCCATGGAGAGACTACAATGCTCGTCTCTTCTCAAAATCTAGAATACAGTTCAGGAGATTGCAAGAATCTGCAAGGCGTTTGCGGCTGAAGAAGATGCAAGTTCATAATTCTGTGAAACGTGGAGGCAAAAGGAAGTGTAAAGGAAAGTCGGTAAAAGTACAAAGTATTTAAAAGTGAACGTGTATAGGTCAAACTTCTCTTTTGGAAATATACCAGTTGACTCCAGAGCATAAAGGTCAAAGTTATGTCCCTGTGTCTACCTCAACATCATTATCACCAATTCACCATTGAGAATATTAGGATCGGCATGCTAATCTAGTGGCGAAGCGACGTAGATAAACAACACTTCGTCAAACTACATTTGTATTCCTAACTAAATCCTAGACAAATCTTTTGACAAGTTCAAAATCAATTGACAGGGACTATATTAGATGATCTAAGATCAAGTGATCAAGTATCTAGGTTGAAGCTGCTTCTGACTAGTGAGGATAATCAATGATTTGTCATACAACTTACTCTTGACTGAACATATTAGGAAGATCTTTCCTTCATGTTGAGAGGTAGCTAAGCTTAGAGCTAAGTTTTCAGGCTTAGATATGACACAAGTTTAGAGATTTTGGACCCCTACATTCACAAAATGTGATAAAATTAAGGTTATGGGCACCTTTTTTTTTTTTAGACATCAGATGGGCACCTTTTCTGTTGATAATAATATTAGTTCTGTCAGTCTCAAACTGATATTGTAGTCTTTCAAAGTCCACTAATTACTAAGCTTGATCGAATTTTGACCAGTGGACTAAGTATTCATCATTAAATTTCCTACTCAGGTCAAACTGTAAAATTAAGGTGTCTATTGTACAAATTTTTTCTTTGTTGAAGATTGAGTTTCATTTTGTATTCCGTAACTAGATTTTGGGGAACAGAGGGACTAAATTTGATGTATGATTTTTGAAAGTTAATTCTTTGTCCCAAAATCGCCCCAAATCTTGTTAAAATATCTCGGATGTTTGCATAAGAAGAATGATCAATTTTAAAGAAAAACATGTCATCATCCGCAAAAAATAGATGTGAGATTTTAGGAGCTCTTCTTGCAATTTTAATACCACTAAAACGTTTAATATTTTCGCCTAAAATAGTATTCTTGACGAAACATCCATACCGAAAAGGAATAAATATGGGGATTGAGGATCACCTTGGCGAAGGCCGCATTGTGGCTTAAAGCTTTCAGTTGTTTTTTCGTTAATAATGGCCTTGAAGGTGACGGTTGAGACACACTGAGAAATCCACTAAATCCAACGTGAGGAGAAGCCATAAGATTTAAGGATTTCAAATAAAAAAAATCCAATCTACACGATCATAAGCTTTCGACATATCAACCTTAACAACTGCAAGATAGTAGAATACTTTTTCATATTAATGAAATGAATAAGCTCCTGCAATAAGTACACATTGTCTTCCATATATCGACCTGGAAAAAAGCATGTTGATGATATGAAATTAAGCACAACAAAGCTAGTTTCATGCGTTTCACCGTACACTTTGCAATACACTTGTAAATCCTGTTACAAAGGCTGATCGGCCGGAATTGCATAACCATTTATGGGGAATCGACCTTTGGTAGAAGAGCCAAAAGTGCAGCATTTAGCTTAGTCAACAGAAAACCAGTGTCAAAGAAATGTTGCACACTTTTAATCACCGTATCACATACGGACTCCCACTGAATTTTAAAAAAATCCTCTATAAAGCCATCCGGCCCGAAGACTTTGATGAGTGAATATCAAACATTGCTTCTTTGATTTCATTCGGAGTAAAGGGTTTTTCTAACTGATCCGAGATATGCTATGGGAGATTAGTGATATGTCCATTTTATATAATAATTTACCCTCGTCCCTTGGTCATAATTAGTAGTGTTTTTGGCTCTTTCGAGTTTCTTTTATTACTAATTTGTGTTTTCTAGTGTTTTCGTAGTCTTTGTTGAGTTTTATAGGAAATTACGCCTTTGGAGCATTTTCTCGGGTTTTTTCATGGAGCGACTACGAGAATTAGAAGAGCACGACCATCTTTGAAGCCCAAGGCCGGTTAGAGTCATCGAGCCGGTTATTAAGGGCTCGGTAATCGTGATTCCGAGGTATTTGGACCGAGTATTCAAGATCCGAAGAGAAAATCCGGATTGGGTCGAGAAATCAAGCCCAATCGAAGTCCGAGCCTCAAAGTGAAGCAAGGGCCTGGTCAGGCAAGGATTAGCACGATCGGGCGCGGCATGCTTGGTGCTGTGCGTGGCTTATAGCGCGCCCGATCGTGCGTGCGTCTAGCACGATCGGGCGATGCTGCTGAGAAGGAGCACAAGGAAAAAGGCGGGCCCGATCGGGCGGCCCTTCGCCCGATCGGGCGCGTGTTTTTATGTGACCTGATTAGTTAGTTTTAATTTTCGTTTTAGGAAACGTTTAAGTACGAGATTTGTACGTAATTTTGGGATTACCTTCTTTCTTAGACTTTCTCTCTCTACTTAGAATATTTTCTCTCTCTTAAATTCTCTCTCAACTTTTGTTCTTAATTACTTCCATTATCCAGTTTTCTTTTGGTAACAATTTCTTCTCTTTTAATCTCAGCTATTTTACTTACTTCTTTGATTATGCTTTGTTTTATTTATTTGATTAGTTTAGCTATGATTATGTGTGAGTAGTTTCATTCTAGGGTTTATGGGTGTGGGGAATAGATTTCAAGCGTTAACCCCTAGCTTGAACCCCACTGTGATCATACACTAAAGTACGGTGGCGTCCAAAAGGGAAGAAGATAGAGCAAAAGAGTCGCCAACAAGTTTTAGGAACTTGTAAACCGTCACAGGGTGAAGATTATACCCCTTAACGATCCAAGAGATCGTCAACTCCATAAGGTCTAGAACCAAATAAGGGTTCGGGGATGAAGGTACAAATCCAACCTAAAAGAGATTGAACCTGCCCTAATAATAGGCCTCTACTTTATTCTGATCGTATTCATGTGCACTTTTTAATTAACATGCAATCAATAAGATTAACCCTAAACCTGTTTAATCTATGTTGGTTGAATATAATGCACAAACAAATCTATTATTGGTGATCACTTGAATTATAATCAAATTAACCCTGAACAAGATTATTAATTATCTTATATAAGCGTGATTACAAATACAAATTCCCTTTAAACATGCATAAAAGGTGTGATCAAGCAATAACAATAAATATCATCAAGCAACATAATAATAAAATAATAATAAATATAATCATGATCATAAAATTATAACAATGAAATAATCATCATAATAACAATCATATTAACCATAATAATAATCATGTTAATCATAATAATAATAATTATAAAATTATAATCATAATCAAAACAATTATAAAAATAATCATAAATTATGTTAAAGCATAATAAAAATAGCAAGATCCTAGGCATAATACTAACAAGATTAATAACAAACCCTAGCATGTCACTAAGCAATAAAAATCAAATCTTTAGCCCTAACATGATACTAACATGAATAAACATTAGGAAGAACATAGGAGACATCGTAACAATCATATATGATATTAAAATTACCCTAGACATGATACTAGGAATATCATAATAACAATGCAAACATGATCTCTACATCATAACATCAATTAAAACCATTAAAGCAATTACTTTGATGCCTCGTACCTCTTTCTAATAACAAAATACACACGTTAGTAAGTTCAAGGAAAATAATAATTAAAACAATTTAATTAAATAATTGAAATAGAGATTTGGGACCAAACCCTCAGAAATTAAACCTTTCACGTCTAGGGCGAAGGCAACTTCGAATATGGCTAGGTGTTTCTATATCTTGAATGCGGAATTTTGTATGTGAAAGATTAGTTTAGAAAAAGGAAAGAGAAGGATGATTGAAATAATCAAGAAAACTTGATGAGAATTGGTGAATGATTAAGAGAGAATTAGAGAATTAATGATTGCGAATGAAAACTGATTGTAGGTGAAAATTAATTAAAACTGATTGTTGATGAGAATTCGTGAATGAAAATGGAGTTTTTAATACGTTATTTATAGAGAAATCAGCCAAAAAGATAAAATATCAAAACAGAGCACTTGGCGCACGTAAAACAGAGCTGGCGCCAGCACCAGCTAATTGGCGCAAGGCGCCAATGGCTAGCACCAGGCTCCAATGGCTGGCGCCAGGCGCTAGGCCTGGTTCCAGGCGCCAATGCCTGGAGTCAGGCGCCAGGCCTGTTTTTGACGCGTTTTCGAAAATCAGATAACTTTGCTGTACTGGAGGATAAAATCGTATCTTTTCCTCGAAAATGCTTTTTGATTTTAATTAAAACTTTGAAAAGTCAACAAAAGTCAATTTATCAATGCTAATTGAATTAGGAATGAAAAGAACCTTTTAGAAGAATCTAGAAGACTAAAACCATTCATAATTGCATTAGGAATGATAAATCATATTAGGCCCTCCTCAAGATCATTGGGCCGCATATAAGGCTCAAACCGGGCCCAGTTTAGTAAATTGGCCATAACTTCCTCAATATTCATTGGAATTGGGCTTATAATATATCGTTAGAAAGATCTTGTCAAACCCCATCCAACTACACTACTATTGGACCCATATCATGGACCAACCAAACTGGATTGGCTGTTTTCTTAAAATAAGTTTTTAAAAACAGAGAGAAGAGAAAAGAAATTAAAACTTATCCGCAACACTAGACTTTCCACACTTTCGCTTCATTCGATTATGATTCGACGTGAAAGGTACTCATCACTGGGTTTGGTTTTGGGGAGACACAAATGGGTGTCTACAATGGGGATCCATAATTAATATGAAGGGATAATTTGTTATTATTGATTGTTGGTATTACATGATAATTTCTTATTGAATTGTTTTAATTCTTTTCAATTAGATTATGAATCGAGCAGATGTAATTTGATTGTGAATGTTTAGCAATATTGAATTGATGAATCGAGCAGATGTTAATTTAATATTAAAGGCTATTTTCAATAGGAACTTAGATCTAGTAAATTGCGAGAGCCTGTTAGATCTATGTTGATTAACAAATTGCGAGAGCCTGTTAATCATGTTATTCGTGCAACGCTAGTTATCAATTACTTCATTTTATCCCGGAATATTAATTATTGGTGAACCTGTGACCCTAGGCTTTCTTATTATTGTTTCTTTTCTCCCTAAACTTATTCTTCGTAGTATAGAATTTATTCCCAAAAATATTGGTTACTTAGATAATTTAGATTATAATAAATAATTAGGAGTAAAAAGACTTGTTTCCCTGTGGAGTTCGACCCTACTTCCCTATCTACATTAGTTAGAGGATTTAGGTTTTACTTTTGATTAGGGGATACGACTTTACCCTGTCAAAATTTGGCGCCGTTGCCAGGTAAACGATTTTATTTCTGTTTTCTGATTTTTTTTTTTGTAGTCTAGATTATCCCTTTTTGTCTCAGAGAACGTTAGTTCTTTGAGGCAATTCTCATATTTGTCTTTTAGTTCTTTGTTTATGCCCAGGTGTTCCAGATCAAGTTACATCCCATTCGACCCTGAGATCGAGCGCTCTTTTCATAGGCAAAGGAAACTCTATAGACAAATTCTGGCGGGTTCTGAGGAGAACAACAGTCGAAGAGATCCTCCCTCTGATTCTAGTGACACAAATATTCCTTCAGATTCAAAATCAGAGATGACGGCCCAGAAGAAACTCAGTGACTACTTGCAACCGAAGCTCACAGATTTCCCGCACCTTACTCCCACTCCGGCTCTAAATGGAGTTCAATTTGAGATCAAGCCCCAATTTATCACTATGATAGAGAGGAATCAATTCAGTGGAGCTAAGGGTGAAGATCCTAATCTTCACATCGCAGATTTCTGCCAATATTGTAACACCATTAGACAAGCCGGGGTCACGCAAGACCAAATCAGGGAGATTCTTTTTCCTTTTTCATTATGTGGCAAAGCTAAATTATGGTTTAATAGTTTGAATAGAACTGCACTTGGTATTACTGGCTGGGAAACTCTTGCCTTGAATTTCTACAATAAATACTATCCTGTAGAGAGAACAACGGTACTAAGGAGTGCTATTCAGAACTTCGCTCAAGAGGCCGACAAATATATGAGGCTTGGGAGAGGTTCAAGGATCTACAGAGAGAGTGCCCCCACCACAATCTAGCACAATGACAATTAATCCAAGCATTCTATAATGGACTAGAAAATTCTTCTAGATCAGTGCTAGATTCGACAGCTAGTGGGAGGTTCATGAATTTAAATGTGGACGATGCATCACTACTACAAAAATAGGCAAAGAGACCCGTTCAAATATGCCTTTGAGACCGCACTTGGACGGGTCTCTATCTCAGGGGTCTGTTTGATTAAGAGACCGCGTCAAAGAAGGGGTCTGTTTTTAAGAAAGAAGAGATCCAATATTTGAGAAATGGGGTCTGTTATATTAATAATTTTTAGTATTAATTTATAGGGGAAGAGACCCGTCCTTAAAGAAATGAGGTCTTCCTGCCATATATATAAAAGATCCCATATCAAAGAAATAGGGTCTCTTTGATAACTATTTTAATTAAAAAAAAATTTGGCGGTTTATTATTTTGTTTTGAAATTTAAAATTTTATACTCTATTAAATTTGACAAAAAAAATGTAAATAAGCCAAATCAACAAAAGAATTATACTGAATGAAATTAATCATCAAAAAAATTTTATTAACTGAATGAAATTGTTACAAGTTACATTTATAAACTAATTTGAAATCTAAAAGTACGAACTAATGTTATAACAGGAGGAATGTAAAATGCCGATTTGCGGTCCTCAAAGTTCGAAAAAACCAACGATATCAACAATGTCATCTGCAAGTTCAATTGACAATTTATAACAAACAAAATTTAATAAAGATTAATCTTAATATCATCCATTAAAACAATAAGACAATAAAGTAACAAAATGAATTAGTAACACATCTGACATCTCTAAGCCACTCTACTCAAAGAAATCTAACTTATCAATGCTAAGCGTAGCTAACCTCAATAATTCCCAACAAGCTATGGAAAACACCTTAATTTTGCAACAACATACCAATAAAGTATTTCAAATCTGCAATTCATAAAAGTTCAAACATGTAATAATAAGTAATTAAAGTAAAACTTATGAATTTCAACAACAAATTAACCCACAGTAAACTTCGTAATTCTTAAGAAATTAAAAAAAAAGCCAATCTTCTTATTCTACATTATACATGAATTTTAAGAACTAAAATAAAAATAAAATCAACCCATTAATTCTTAATCACAAATTAAAGCAAATTGATATCAAATTAATCAAGCAAAATTGAAGTAGGAAAATTAAAATTGTGACACATACCTTTATCAAATTTAGATTTCAGTAACGATTTCTAGTCTTCTTGTTGTTCAATCGACCACCGCTATCGACCCGCCTTCACTTATACAAACGTTACCATCACTAACCACCGATCATCGCCAAATAATTCTGCACCGGTATCAACTCGCTAAATTATTTTAGTGCGACTTGGAGAGGAAGGAGGGGATAGAGAGTGAGAGTGTAAGACAGATTAGAGGAGGCGGAAATGACGAGGAAAGGTAGAGGAAAAATCCAGGGAAAGAGGAATGAATACTTGCCTATTAGAGCTAGGCGGATTGGCGGAAATGACGAGGAAGGTGACTAATAAAGTTTTAAAAAATCAAGGCCAGTCAAGTGTAATAACGGTTCTGTTATCTTTTTCTTTCTAATTTTGTTACCCAAGTATTGGGCCTACTACATATTAGAGATCCGCTGGCTTTGACAACGGATCTCTTAATTTTTTTAATTTTTTTTTGTCTCCATAGTGGTAGGACCTAGTACACATTACAGACCTGTCATCTATAATATTAGATCTCTTACATAAAACAGACCTGTTGATTGATATGACGGGTCTTTTATTTGGGGTCCTTTATCCAAATTTTGTAGTAGTGGCAGGACAGGTTATCGAAGACATGGCAATACACAATTCCCAATATGGGAATCCGAGAGGGTTTGCAAATAAAGGAAAACATAATGTCGATTCCGTATCCTTTTTACAAGCTCAATTAACGTCTATTTGTCAAAAATTAGATAATCTTACTGTTTCTCCTAACTCTGTAGCTAATGTTTCTGCTATTGCTAACAATGAAGCTTTTTGTGAAAATTGTGGAATTGTAGGTCATTGGGAGCAAGATTATAGGAGCTCTATGGAACAAGTTAATGCCTTTCAAACCTATAGGTTGAATAACCCCTATTCCAATTCCTACAATGCTGGTTATTAAAATCATCCATATCTTTCATACCGGAGCACCAATGTACAAAATCCTCCACCTCCACAGCAATCACAACAGCAAACCCCACCACAACAAAAATATTATCATCCTAATTCCGGCCAGAAAAGCCAAGCATCACCCTCATTATCTTCCGACCCTGCCATGATAGAAATTAGAGCAATGCTTACCAATATGCAAAAGCATATAGAGAGTAGGGATGCGCAAATTGATTCTATCCTAGCCCATAATAAAATCATGGACAATCAAATTGCACAACTTTCATCTACCCTACAATCCCGTCAGCAAGGAGCTCTACCATCACAACCTATCCATCCTACAGATCATGCTAATGCAATCACTCTAAGGAGTGGTTCACATTATGATGGACCTCCTATGCCAAAGGAAGATAGACCAGTTCCTGATCTAGATTCCTCTATACCCAACGCTAATCCTGTAGGGCTACAAAAAAAATCCTAACTCTACTAATGTTTCTGTGCAGGGTAAATCGCAGGTGTTTCGGGGTTTTTTTCCCTCGGGAGAGTTACAACACTGAAACTAGATTCAACTGAGGACGCCTGTACCTGCAAAGAAAACGGACCTCTGGATGGTTGGGGGTCCGCCTCCGAAGATTAAGTCAGCAAACGTTCGGAGATAAAACGTGCGGAAGTAAAGTTATCTGCTTGGATTCCAAGCTCAGGTAAAGTGAGATAAGTGACGTATTGTCTCGTATTGCGTGTCAAAAATTCTCTCCTTGTCATAAATGACATAATGTCCCTATTTATAGGGTCCTTCTGAAAAGTGTGCCTTCCTAGGATCTGGTGACCTAGTAATTAGGTCACGCCGTTTTGCGGCGCCTCGGGATTTGGGCCTTAGAAGGCCGCCATCCCAGGGCCAATGCCTGAGTGACACGTGTCACTGTGCCCAAAGGATTTTGAAGCACTTTTTGTGCGACACGTGTCGCCACCTGAATGGTCCCTGCTGGACCTTCAGTCCACGTAGGACGGAGAAGAGTCCACCCTCCACGTGTCATCATTCCATAGGTCCAAATGGCACCTATACGGAGGACACGTGGCACTTTCTGATTGGGCCACCTGGCCGGGTATAAAATACCCAAATCATTTGCCCCTCACAGGGGTCACGTACATTGCACGTGACTCTTGTGACAGGTGTCAATATCTGAGTGTAGGGCTGTACACCGGTCCAAAACCGGACCGGACCTGGACCGGACCTGTTGGGACCGGGACCTGAATCAGGGAAATTTGAGGACTGGAGACCGGACCTGATTCAACAGGTCCGGTTCTGGGTTAGACCTGAAAAATCAGGTCCGGTCCGGGTTCGGACCTGAATAGACCTGTTTTTTTATTTATTTTTTGATTTTTTATTTAAAAAATAAAATAAATAATAACATAAAATCTGATATTATCAATCATGAATACTACATAAATTGTATAAATTGACTAAAGTCCCAATTCCCAAACACCAAAAATACTAGACAACAGTAACCACCAGATCTACCACCTTCAAAGTAGATGGTCGCAAAGGAAGGTCGGGGTAGATCGTGAAGCGAGTAAGAGGGCGATTGGTGTATGATTGGGTGGCTGCAGTCGCTGGAGTCGCGCGATCTGGTGGATGCGGTCGCCGGAGTCGCGCGTTATGGTGGCTACGTTCGCTAGAATCGCGCGTTCTGGTGGATGCGTTCGCTGGAATCGCGCGATCTGGTGGTTGCGGCCTCTAGTGTCGCGCGTTCTGGTGGCTGCAGTCGCTGGAGTCGCGCGATCTGGTGGCTGCGGTCGCTAGAGTCCCAATTCCCAAACACCAAAAATACTAGACAACAGTAACCACCAGATCTACCACCTTCAAAGTAGATGGTCGCAAAGGAAGGTCGGGGTAGATCGTGAAGCAAGTAAGAGGGCGATTGGTGTATGATTGGGTGGCTGCAGTCGCTGGAGTCGCGCGATCTGGTGGATGCGGTCGCCGGAGTCGCGCGTTCTGGTGGCTGCGTTCGCTGGAATCGCGCGTTCTGGTGGCTGCGTTCGCTGGAATCGCGCGATCTGGTGGTTGCGGCCTCTAGTGTCGCGCGTTCTGGTGGCTGCAGTCGCTGGAGTCACGCGATCTGGTGGCTGCGGTCGCTAGATTCGCGTGTTTTGGTGGCTGTGGTTGCTGGAGTCGCGCAATGTGGTGGTTGCGGTTGCTAGAGTCGCACGTTCTAGTGGCTGGGGTTGCTAGAGTCGCGGGATCCAGTGGTCGCTAGAGGAGTGTGCAGCGTGAGGGGGTGGGTTTGTAAGTGTGTTGTGTGACTTGTGTTGGCTGAGTGGGTTAGGGAGTGAGTGATTAAGTTAGGGTTAGAAATGAACTGACTTCTTGTTTTGATATTTGGGAAAAAAAAGTTTACATTTTTACCGGGTTTCAGGTCCAGACCTGAAAACCTCGGGTTTGGACCTGATCCGGACCGGGACCGGAAACCTTGAATTTTAAGGACCGGGACCGGACCTGAATCTACAGGTCCGGTCCCAACAAGTCCGGATCAGGTCGGTTTTCAGGTCCGGTCCTGTTTATGTACACCCCTATCTGAGTGGTCAGATTCGAAAATTTACTGGAGGGAAAAAATTAGGGTTTTACCCCCTATAAATAGTAAGGTTTGACCCCCCCTCTTGGATTCACACCTTGGCGAATCTCTGGAGAATCTTGGACTTTTTGACTTAAAGAATCTCAAAATTCCCTAAGCGTTTTTCAAGCATCCGACACTCGGCTACCAGTTCGACCGTTCTTTAGTCAACCAGGCGTCTTTGTCCCTTCTTCTAAAGGTAACGACTGTATTTTCTTTTTACTCTTCATTTTTTCTTTGTTTTCGAAAAAATGGCTCCCCAATTGCATGCGGCACGGCGTAGGATAGTGATCAGCCGGTCACCGGGGACGGCTGAATCTAGAACTAGCAGTGTCGAATGCTTGGCCAAAGACCCTGCTTTGTGAACTTCTCCGAATCCGACCGTTTCCGTGTCTGTGCAGGACACTATGGCCAAAATCAAAAGAACAGCAAGGCAGTGTAGCTCCGATGGAGTTTTCTACCATTCGGATGGGTCGACTGTTTTTTCAGACGACTCAATAAGGGTGCCTCGAAGTGAGCTGTCGGAACACCCTGACAGCCCTTCCTATCTTCCTCCTACCCCCACTTATTACCATTCGCCCACATCTAGTGGAACTCCCAGTGATGGAATCCTGGGGGAGGCGGATGAAGAATATCAACCCGAGCCTTCTGGACAGGCGCCGGAAGAGAGTTTAGGGGAGGACCCCGGTTGCACCAGTCGGCGGTCCCCTAGCTCTGATGAGAGCTCTGATGACGAGTCGGCCTCGTCATCTTCTTCAGAGAATGCCTCCGTAACTTCAGAGGAGGCTAGATCAAACATAGATTCTGCCAGAGAGTCCCTGGCAGTGGATAGGGGGGAAAGCTGGGCCGAGCCGAGTGCTTCCAGGCGCTTGGAGAGAGCCCCCTACTATCAGCATGTTCCGCCAGGCAGGCGGAGCGCCATGGCATCCGACCTTGCCAATTTTAGGCGCAAGGTCGTCCTAGGCTATGGCTACACTTTGTCGGTCCCTAACGAGGGCGACACCATTACATGGCCGAGCCTGGCCAGCTATCAAGACAAAGCATTCGGCTGCTATGAAGCGGCCTTCCAGGCTGGCCTCCGCTTCCCTCTCCATCCGGCCGTGGAGAGGATCTTGGACGGATACCAACTGGGTATCTGACAACTTGTACCCAACTCCTGGATCAATATTCTGGGGTACGTTGCCGCCTGTGAGATGCTGCAGGTGGAGGCAAGCTTTGAAGCGTTCGCCCACATGCACTATCTGAGCAGGGCGCCTGCTAGGGGCGGTGAAGGCTGGTACACTTTGACCACTTGCAAGGGGTACATGATGGCTGTTGGCAAAGAGAACAAGTGGAAAGACTGGAGGACTAAGTTTTACATAGTCAAGTCTGCCGACAGCCGCCTGAACCAAAAGTATAACAGGTGGAATAAGGATCCACCTCTCCTAGCAGGCAGGAGCACATTGCCGCCTATTCCCAGGCGGGCAAAGGAGGAGATCATGGACGCGGGGTTGTTTACCGTGTCCGTGTGGACGAATGATGAGGGGGACAAGGAGGTCACCCCTCAATGCTATCTCCCTTTGTACAAGTGGTTTGAAGAAGGGACATTCTTAGCCGCCTGTGGGCTAAGTTCTGAGATGCCGAGAGGTAGTCGACCGTCTGTTTTATATGCAATTTACTTTTGCTTTTCAATACTTGTTTAATGATGCTAATCACTTGTTCATTTTTGCAGACAAAGCAATGGAAAATCTCTCGGCCACAAGGAAGCCGGCTGTATCTGCTGCTCGATACAGGTCGAATGTCCTAAACAGGGCAGAAGTAACCACTCACACCAAAGTGGACGAGCAGAAAACTGGCGGCACCTCCAAGGTAGAAAATTGTTATACTTTCATTTCTGACCAATATTAAATTTGCCCGAATGATTTCTAACTTGCGTTTATCTTGTGTTGATGTAGGGTGCGCCTTCCAAATCTCCTTCAAAACCATCCGACCCTAAAATCCAAAAGACTAGGGCGGGTGATGTGAGCGCATCCTGCAAGGGCGGCCGGAAGCACATTGCTCATAGGCCCAAGAAGGGCCCAGACGCCTCTTCTCTCGAAGCTGAAAAG